CCCCCCCCCCCCGTGTACTCCCCGCCTCGCCCTGCGCATAAAATGATTTAAAGTCTCATTCGAGTATGATGTGTGACTTGACAGGAGTGTAAAAGGCTGGAGACGTTCTACAATATAGGTGGCATGATGGAGGGGCAGAGACAGGCAGAGCTGAGGGAGGTGGTGCAGAGGCTGATCAAGTGGGCATGGAAGAGAAACAAGCACATGGAAGAACAGGCAGCTCAACTGCACGTACTGGTTGGCTGGGCGCAACTTGTCGAAGTGAGTCTGCCATTTCCGTTCCTTTCCGTTATGCTTTCAGGAAAAGTACAAATATGTCAAATGCTTGCTCGCCCATCTGCGTTTCATGGAAAAACATCGATTTATCTGAGCGTGGCTGTCCGATCTGCTGTCATGGAAAAGGTGGAACGAATATGTCACATCCTTTGCTTTATCCTAGCTTCATGGACGTACGTACGTTTGGGAAAAACGAGAAGAAAGCCCCACCGCTCATTTTAGTGTGGCGATTCCATAAGATCTCAGGAAAAGCACAACAGATACGATTGATACTTCACTTGAGTGTGGCCCATGTCACGTTCCTTTCCTGAACACACCAGTTCGCCGGAAGCTACGTTGGGCTCTCACCGGTTTAATACGTAAAGGCCATTACAGTCCGGGCCTGGGCCAATATCTTTTTCATTTCTTATTTTTATTTTTTTGAATGCGACGGCCTTGAGATATCATCATCGAATTTACCCGCCCTCGGAAATTCAGACTTGGACTATTTCAGTGGAGTTGGAACTAAGGTGTCAGTATTTCAACAGTTCAGTGGTGTACCAACTGAGGTTGGCCAGTCGGTTATCTTTTTCTTTTCTAGTTTCGCTGTGAAGAAGAAACTTGAATCGCAAACTCGTTGACATCTCATGGACGAGGATTGACGCAGCGACAAAGCACAGAGGGACATAACCGACCAAGCATTGATCGATCGCACATGCACAAGATATATGAGGCAATATTGAAGTTTTGTGATGAAGAAACCCCTCGAGTTGCCTCCAAGCGACGAAAACAACAAGCATGACCATAAGAGTAATGCTAGGTAATGGTGGTCTCTCTGCACGAGTTGGTAGCCACCCCCCAATTCTCCTCCTTTGTCTCGTGAATCCCCCGAGTCTGCCCCGTCTCTTCACCCCACTCCTTCCCTGGTCCCCTCCCCCCGCCCCCTCCCACGCTCCCTTCCTGACCTCCCTCTCTCTCAGAACTTATTGTGTTGATCGGCTGGATAACTGAGTCAGATTTGCCCGATTGCTGGCGGAAAAGAAAGGGAGGGCTTTTTTCAAGTTTTGTGTTTGTTGTCCACATGGGAACAGGTTTAAACCACCAGTTTGCCATAAGGCCCGAAATCTAAACTGGCCTCTTACCAGTAAAAGTGGCAAGGGTATACCGCTTTGGTCTGCCTGACCCAAGGCGGGGGGGAGGGTACAAGGGATTTTTTTTTTTTTTTGTTTAACTCTTAATTTGCGCAATGGGAAATTCCAAGACTAATCAGGGATGTTGCTTAGGCTACTCTGTATCAGGAGGGAAGTTTTTGAAAAAGTAGACAAAAATTGTTTGGCCCGTGAAAAAGATTTTCGCCAAACCGAATCGATATCTCAATCAAAGCCAGTATGACACGGTTGGACTGGCATTTCGGGCTGGGTAAGCCCAGGGGGTCGGTTCTTACAAATAGGCTCGGCTGAAGTGATGGTTTAGAGTCTCTAGACTTTACGGTAGATAGGTAGTGAAAGTTCAAAAAATATATGTTCTCCATCACATGGCAGAAGCCAGTTAAAAATTGAGAGAAATATATATATCTCGTTTGTTGTCCTCTTCTCCCTCTCTGCCTACGGTTTACCGGGCAGTTCTATTTGACGACATATATACAGCTGTTTCCCAACGAGGAGAAGACAGCTTTAAGCAAAAAAGGAAACAAAAAAAAGAAAAGACTTTACAGTAGGTGCGGGCAGGTTTGATATCACGAAGATCGTGCTGAAAACGTGGGAGATCTGATTATCAAAAAAAATAAAAGTTCAGAAAATACTGTGCTGAATCTGGAAGTGTCCTGCAGGTTGCTATTTCAAGGCGTTATGATTTTCTGGGGAACAATGGCCGACCGCAACTGCTTTTTGAGTAAGTGTCATTCGGTCAAATGACTCGAAACGTTTTTTTTTTTTTTTTTTTCGCGTTTGTTTGGTGATATCTCGATGCTTCACACCACATAATAGAAGGCCTCTTACAACTGCCCATTGACGTTCTTTTTTTTTTTTTTTTTTTGGTGGTATCTTTGTGCGTCTCACCACATGGTAGAATGCTCTCTCAACTGCCCTTAGATATCCGTCCTTTTTTCTTTTTTTTTTAGTATCTTGTTAGGCTACCAGGCGTGCCTTGGAGAACTTACCCAGCCGGGCCATCTGGGGTAGTGCAGCCTCGAGCCACCTTTCCGGGTCGCCTTGGCAAGCCAACAGATAAGGTCAAGAAAGAAACTCATGGTGGCACATTTCTGCGTCCACTTAGATGTGCCCAAATCCCACCTTACATTCAGGGGGGTCTGTGGGGTATGAATGGGATTTAATTTCATTTAAACTTTGAGGGGGTTAAAGGAGGCTTAGAGCGGTGTGATTCCGTGTGACATGATTTTTTTTTTTTCCCCTTTCAATTTTTAATAACGCATCTCAGAGTGACCCTCAGGCCAAAACTTGTGCCTGTCTGGCTTTTTTGTTTTCCAATTTTTTTTGTAATTCATTTGTGCATTACCAACTCTACTATCGCGTCCTATTTTTGGTTATTGCCTCCCTTGACCCGGGTATACTAGAAAAATTATTTCCTGTTCCTGATTCTTGTCATTGATTACTGCATTGCCTGCAGGGCTTCTATCCACTGCTCGCCAAATGCAAAAATGATGAGGTTATCTTGCAGGAGAACATGGCGAGGTACGTTCGCCATTTTCACATTTGGCGAGTGGTGGAATGAAGCCCGAACTCTTGAAAGTTTTTAATCTGCTCAACTTGCTGCCACCGATCTGCTGCCGTGCATTCTTTCTTCCCTCCCCCCCCCCCCCCCCCCCCCCAAAAAAAAAAAAAGGAGTTGGTAGCACTCCTAACGTTGTGGTACGTATGTGAATGGATCATCGAATTTGAATTTCAAAAATGATTATCTACTTACAAGCAGTTATGTGTGTACCATTCAGCCACATGGATTGGGTGCTGACGTTCATTCGTGATCTTACGGTTAGCGGTCTCCTCGGATTATTACATCTCCGATCTCTCTGTGTGCACCACGCCCTCCTTCCTCGGTGCTTACCTCATCTTCATTGCTTTGTGCACATGTCGCGTAATTTGACTTGAAAAGGTTTCTTAAACATCTTTCGTACTCAGAATGTTAAATACTAAATTAATAAAAGTTTGTAAATTCGTAACTGTGTGAAATTTGTGTGTGTAACATTGTGCAGAGTTCTTGATGCCGCGCTGAATGCCGCCAAGTCTCCAGATTGCTCACTGAAAATGGCCTTCCCTATCAGCCAGGTAACCTGCCAAATAAATATCGACTAGTACTGATTCTACTGAATCTACTGATTATATCACTGTAGTATATATTCTCCCCAGTGTCCCCACTCCATTACTTACCTTCCTACAGGCTAGTTTTCACAAAACTGTTTATGTCAAATTTCGCTTTTGAAAACTGTGAAAACATCTGTCAAATTTCGGTTTTGAAAACTGTGAAAACATCTGTGAGTATAATCATTACAGATCATACACAGTGCTATTACGCAGACAACAATGAGAACAACAAGAGCAACAAGAGCAACAAGAGCAAGAGGAACAATATAGAAAGTAGAGAAATTAATAATTATGCGTTTGTTTCGTACTTGCGGCGCACCGGGCTTGTGCGCGCTGCGGTGCGCTGTGCTGCGCGCGATGTGTGGATTGGTGGTGCGCACACACTGCCGGGCACCGAGCAGCCGGGTCCGCTGTGCACGATGCAATATGTGCTGCATGACCCCCCAGTGCGCCGTGCACAGGTGCGCTGGGGCGTGCGCGCAGGCCAGCCGCATGTGTGTCCGGTGCGCACGCCGCACGGCCTATTGTATTTATTGATTTATTTTTGAAAGAAATCCAAGCGATGGAAACTGCATATGTTCGTCTTCTTTTTTTTCCATTTGCAGATTATACCAGCGTTTTTAGGGTTCTGCATGCAGAATCTGCCTCGCCAGCGTCAACGACATGTTCACCTGCACACACACAGTCCGCCAATAGCCCAGGCGTCAGCCCCTTGTGTCAGCACTCTTCTTCAACCTACCCCCATTGCCCCTCTCCCCCCCTTCCYATCCCCCCCAMCCCCCMMCCCTTTTGCTCSCACCSCCCCTCCCAACATTCCCCCTCCCTCCCCAACCCCACAGCCCCATTCCTCCTCCTAACCAACGAGGAAGAAAAAACAAAAATACAAAACGGAAAACCTCCCCCCACCTTTACCCCTCCAGGTATTGCGCACCTGGCGCACTGCCGCAGAGTGCGCACTGCGCACAGCGCACAGTGCATGCACTGTCATTCCAGCGGACAGCGCACTGCGCGCCAGTGCGAACCGCACTGCGGACTGGTGCGTCACAACTGCGGTTTGGAGGTATATGCCTGATCATCATCAAGATTGGAATTGATTATCTGTTTACTATCTGTGTAGTAAAAAAAAAAAAAAAAAGTGTTACATGTGTGTACTACAGCGTTTACCATTCAGCCATACGATTCTGGTTGGTCGCTCCCTGGTCGCTGCTTTTCACATTTTTGGATTTTCTCCTTTTTTTGGTCTTTTGTCGACGCATTACTTCCTGTTTTCTATCCTTTCTTTTCTTCTCCATGGTGTGGCAGGTGGCAATGACGGTAATGGGCACATGATTGTGGCTCTCTCTCTCTCTCTCTCTCTCTCTCTCTCTCTCTCTCTCTCTCTCTCCTTTTTTTACCATCTCCCGATTTTTGTGTGGCATCATTGCACAGGGGCCATGCTAATCTTCTCTGCATCGTCCCAATTCTAACGGATATCCCAAAGGACTGGTCCTGGCTAGTTTTTGCTTTTCTTTCTTTCTTTCTTTCGTTCTTTTTTAACACAAGGCCCCTTCTATTCTGGGGGCCAACAGTCCGGTTGCTTATCACCGGCAAACATGTTCGTACATCCAAGGAAGGGGGAGATCAGATCAGAGAAGGGGAACGGTCTAACCCTTGTGGCAATAGTCGCCCAGCAAGAGGGGAGCTGCAAAAGCCGCCCCCCCCCCAAAAAAAAAAAAATCATGGCCCTTCTCCAGGGGTCATTTGCCCCCCTTTTTTTTTATCTCTTGTCTGTCAACTCATTACTCCCTGTTTTGTCCTTCCTTTCTTCGTTCACACTATCAATGTTGTGACAGGTGGCAATGACGGTTATGGCGAAGCTCCGGGAGCAGATTTACTCTTCCCCGGGTGCCGGAGACAGTACTGACGATGTCTCATGTGTTGACCTCCTGTCGGCATCCCGGCTTGCAAACAACGCATGTCATACGATCCTAATGAAGCTAGTTCAACTCATTCTGAAAGGTGATACATCAGAGCCTCTGCGCCGCCGGTAAGTTCTGATTCCGGCTCCCTTTTTATTGCGCTTATGAATGCATGCACTTTGTGAAACAAATGAAGAGAAAAAGGACAGACAGCAACAGCACGCGGCGCACAGAAACTGGTCTATTTGCCTTTTCCTGTACAGCTCTTTGAACTTCTTTCTTTCTTTCTTTTTCTTTCTTTCGTTCTTTCTTTGTCTCTCTTTTGGCATTTAAAAAAAAAAAAAATTGCATTCTGGTCAGGATTTGCAAATTGCAATTGCATTTGTGATGTTATGGGTTTTTTGAACTTTTTGCAACTTTGCGTTGTTCTCGTTGACTCCTTTTTTTTTTCCCACTTCCTTTTTTGTTTCCGCTCACTTTTCTTTTCTTTTTTTCCTTTTCTTTTAATCAGGCCCTTATGGTCCTGGTTACTTGTCCATTCCAAGGAGCGTCAGTGTGGTTCCTTTCCACCTGCAAGTGAAACATTTATGATTTCTCCTCCTTTTTTTTTCTTTGACGAGTTCGCAATTTACGCATGTCATCTTTGCGCAGGGGTCATGCTCGTCTTGTATGTATCGTTCCAATTTTAACGGATGTCCCCAAGGACGCAAGTGAAAAAGTTTTCCTTTTCTTGTTCTTCCTTTCTCACTTTTCATTTTCTGCAAACTCGTCTATGTGTGGAGGAGTGTAGGGTCCCAACGATGGCAGACATGTGTCAGATGGGCGTAGGGGGATCAGGTCAGGTGTCGTAGTCGAGCGATGGTTTCTCGACTTAGCCCTCCTCATGAGGCTCTTTCTTCCCTGAGTCAATAGCCTTGTTTTCTTCGCCCCTGTTCTTCTCTTCTCTAGCCCCTCTCCTTAACTTTTCGCTTTGCCAGTCGGTTGTGCTCCGCCTTTCTCTTCCTTTTGCTCTCCTCTAAGTCACTGCTGCTTTTTTGCTTAAACCACCTTCTGTGTGTGTGTGTGTGTGTGTGTGTGTGTGTGTGTGTGTGTGTGTGTGTGTTATGGTGTGTGTGTGTGTGTGTGTGTGTGTGTGTGTGTGTGTGTGTGTGTGTGTGTGTGTG